ACTCATTTCTTTACCCAGGATTCTGGGCACTTGATGTGGCTAGTGATGTGCCAGTGACTAGGTATAGTGTTTAAATAAGAAAAGGCCATTCTTGTATTTTTGAACATTAGAGCCTGGTGGAAGAGAAGAATGTAAGTAAGCAAAGAACTAAATATGTAATTATCAATTGTGAAGAAGGCTACTCTTAGTAGAATAGCAGCTCTTAGTAAGAGGAGACTAGCTTTACATGGGGGGCTCACAAAGGTGATTCTGAAAAAATGACATTAAAGAGACCGAAAAACAACAGAAAAGAATTATACATGCAGTTGGGGAGATTTTTCTCTAGAGAAAGCACCATTATATGATTGATAGGATTTGGGGGTTGAGAGGGGAGGGGGAGGGGGTGTGGTTTGGATTAGTGTGGGTTTTGGCTAATTTCCCCTATCCAGAGTAGTTTTAGTTTCAAGGGATTTGTTGCTGTCTTTGGGGGTGGGGGAGAGAGTGTGACTATTTTTTATTTTAGTTTAGTTTTGTTTTACATTAAAAAAAATTTTTTTTTTCAACGTTTATTTATTTTTGGGACAGAGAGAGACAGAGCATGAACGGGGGAGGGGCAGAGAGAGAGGGAGACACAGAATCGGAAGCAGGCTCCAGGCTCTGAGCCATCAGCCCAGAGCCCGACGCGGGGCTCGAACTCACGGACCGCGAGATCGTGACCTGGCTGAAGTCGGACGCTTAACCGACTGCGCCACCCAGGCGCCCCTGTTTTACATTTTTTAAAAATGTTTATTTCCAAAGGAGAGAGAGAGAGAGTGTGAGTGGAGGAGGGGCAGAGAGAGACACACAGAATCCAAAGCAGGCTCCAGGCTCTGAGCCATCAGCACACAGCCTGATGCAGGGCTCAAACCCACAAACCGAGAGATCATAACCTGAGACGAAGTCCAACGCCCAACCGACTGACCACCCGAGCGCCCCAGAGTGTGCCTATATTTTAAATTTTCAACTGCTGTTGTGGGCTGAGGGAGAGGAATGGAGGGTGCTGTTAGGTTTTAATTGATTCCAGCCCATGGGAGACCAGAAGTGCTCGTCAAATGGTTTATCTTGTTTCGGTTAACTACAGCTGTGGGATGGGGGAAGGATGTGATGCCAATAATCCTTTCTGCCTACTCTGAGTAGCCAGGGAACTCATGCCTTACTGAGAGTGCAAATGTTTGAAATAAAACTTTTTTTTTTTAAGTTTATTTATTTGAGAGAGAGAGAGAGAGAGAGAGAACACAAGTGGGGGAGGGGCAGAGAGGGAGGGAGAAAGAGAATTCCAAGCAGGCACCACATGGTCAGTGAGGAGCCCAGTGTGGGGCTTGAACTCACAAACCTCGAGATCATGACCTGAGCCAAAATCAAGAGTCGGATGCTTAACTGACTGAGTCACCCAGGCGCCCCAAAACAGCTTTCTGAAACAGATAGTAAGTTCAGTTTTTACGTTTCATCAGAGGAGTCTATGAAAATTTTAGATGACAGTAGTTGAGAAGCAGCAGGATATGGGGTCTTAAGCATAAATTTGAGATCCCAAACTGGACATTTGCATGTTATCAACTTAGAGATGGAACTTAAGTTCAAGGGGATGGATGGGCAGATACAGAAGGCACAGAACAAAGCAAGAAACAGAGGCCAGGACTGATCCTGAAGGACAGGCAGCAGTGGGAGAAGAGGCTGACAGAGAGTAGCCAGGGCAGTAAGATGGCCACTGGGAGGTTGTGGTCACAAAAGCCCAGGGAAGAAAATAACTTACAGAGGAGAGCAGTGATAGAGTTTTTCCAACGGACCAACTTAGTCAAAAACAGAAATCCATTCACTGGATTAGTTCTCGTTAATTCTCTTCAATCCTTGGCCATCTTGGCAGAATAGTGTCAGTGGACTGGTGGTGGTGAAGGTGGTGGCGGGAACCAGGTTGGAGCATATTAAGGGAGGTGAGGGGAGAGTATGAGGGCAGATTACCCTTCCAAGAAGTTTGCTGGTGAAGAAGAGTGAGCGGTAACCAGAGGGCTAAGTGGGACATGAGGCATAAATTTGTTTCAAGATGGGAGTTAATTATGTTTAAATATTAAAGGTAGAAGTACCCTGAAACAGAAGTTGACGGCGTTACCCAAAACTGGGTTCACCTTGTGGTGGGTATTGAGTCAAAGGACACAAGTAAGCCAAAGAATAGGAAAAGGAAGGGTTTTCTTACAACGAATAAAGGAGAACATGGGCCATTTCCCAAAGCAGTGTCTCCTCCAACAACAAAACTGGAAGTTTAAGCTAAGGGCACATACACATTCATGAAGGGGCCTGTGCAGTGGGGAATTGTGCATGGAATTGGGGCGAAAGTCACCTGAAGGTGATAGAGTCCATGTCTTAGTTGACGGAATTCACAAGGCCGGCGAAGGTCAACATCATCAGTTCTTAGGCTCCAGTTTGTTGTCTGAGTGATCAAAGGAGTTTAAATCCTGCAAAGATAACTCAAGAATGTGGTTTGGGCAAGTAGTGCTGGTCAGGCATAGATCGCAAGGTGGCCTGGGGCCTAAAATGGCTTCTTATGTCAAAAAAGCTATGTCTCACTTTTTCCTGGGGACCCCTAACTCTTTCTGCTTACAGAGGTGTTGGAAAAGAAGAACCAAGGGATAATCAATAGAGTAAGCTTTCTGAGAGAAGATATGAAGGGGTAAGACCAATGATTCTTAATGAGGGCAATCTTGCACCCTCGAGTACATTTGGCAATATCTGGAGACAAGTTTAATTTTGCAACTGGAGGGGATACTACTGACATGTACTGGGTAGAGTCTAGAGATGCTGCTAAGCATATGGGCGCCCCCATAACAAAGTATCCAGTCCCAAATGCCAGTAGTGCCAAGGATGAGAAACCCTGGCATAGAAAGGTAAGAGATATTGGCTTTTGGTAAGAAGGAAGAGAGGTGCCTGGCTGGCTCAGTCAGAAGAGCATGCGACTCTTGATCTCAGGATTATGAGTTTGAGCTCCATGTTGGATGTAGAGATTACTTAAAAATAAAATGTTCATTTATTTACTTATTATTATTTTTTAATGTTTATTTATTTTTGAGACAGAGAGAGACAGAGCATAAGCAAGGAAGGGGCAGAGAGAGAGACCCAGAATGTGAAGCAGGCTCCAGGCTCTGAGCTGTCAGCTCAGAGCCCGACGTGAGGCTCGAACTCACGAACTGTGAGACCATGACCTGAGCCAAAGTCGGCTGCTTAACCGACTGAGCCACCCAGATGCCCCTAAAATGTTTTTGTTTTAATAAATTTTTTTTAACGTTTATCCATTTTTGAGACAGAGACAGAGCATGAATGGGGGAGGGTCAGAGAGAGAGAGACACAGAATCTGAAACAGGCTCCAGGCTCTGAGCTGTCAGCACAGAGCCCCATGCGGGGCTCGAACTCACGGACCGCGAGATCATGACCTGAGCCGAAGTCGGCCGCTTAACCGACTGAGTCACCCAGGCGCCCCATAATGTTTTTTTTTTAGTGTTTATTTTTGGGAGAGAGAGGCAGAGCACAAGAGGAGGAGTGGCAGAGAGAGAAAGAGACACAGAATCGAAAGCAGGTTCCAGCCACTGAGCTCTCAGCCTAGAGCTCCATGTGGGACTCGAACTCACAAACCATGAGATCACGACCTGAGCTAAAGTGGGACACTAAACTGACTGAGCCACCCCGGTGCCCCTAAAATCTTTCCTTTTTTTTTTTTTTAAGGAAGACATCTTGTCTGGAAAGTGAAGTCATGATGGTGTCGGACTACTTTTGAATTCGTGGCAAAGAGAGGAACGATCCTTCTCATCGTTGTCACTATTCCTCTGTGAAGTAAGATATCAGATCATTTGTTGTGGAAGAGGGAAAGTGGAGACCATGTGAAATTCAAAATCCTGGACAAATTGTGAAAAGAGTTTTGGATAACTAGAGGGTTAAATTGCCAGTGGAGCTTTTCCTTTAGTGTTGAAGGCCTGTTTAGAGTAGACAAGGCCTCAAATTTTTAGGGCTTCCCATATAACTGGTTAGGTGGGAATCATCCAGGTAGGATAGACAGATGGCTGGAATTATCCAGAGCAGAGGTTACAGCAGGACAGAGAAAGGAACTGGAGGTTTTGGGAAATATATTATTGAAATGATGGGCCATGGTGTTTTATATGTAGTGTCAAGGAAATGGGGGTTATAAATAGCAACGTAATTGGAGGATGGACAGCTTGGATGCCTCTCTGAGGTAAAAGAGCAGGTGCAATACAGATTAAAAAGTGAACAGGGTAGAAATATAGCTACTATGTTCAGAGAGTTCAGGGATGCCCGACTTTTTGCTCTGGAGAGGTTAAGAGTCTTAGTGACGATAAATTCAAGGTTTGTAACTGATATGCCGAAGCCATGGATGTTTGCTAGTTTATGCCCAAGAACATAGAATCCTCTTGAATCAAGGCCGAGA